CGGTATTTGATCATTCCTATATCATGGAACTGACAAACTCATGGTGCAGCAGTTAGCAAAAGTCAGCTACTGTTTAGCACACTTAATTAATATACATTTACAAATGGTGCTTAGATATGAATTTTACCATGGAAACCAACCTCTCTCTGTGGAAAACAAGACTTTCCATGCAATTTTCATTCAGCTAGTGATCCTGAAAACAGAAAGAACCTGATGTCACAATTTGCTGTATCTAGCAAAATGTCACCGATACCCAGATCCGACTCAGATGATGACTCTCAATTTTATGAGTGTCCAAACAAAAAGCCTCAGACCCATGTTTTAAAGCAATGCAGGCATCTGGAGAGTTCTTATAAGGGTGATTGTTACAGGCCAGGGATTTTAGAAATAGCAGGGTGCTTGCGGAAAGTAGACTACATGATTAGTTATATAAGAATATTCTAAATCCACACATATGCCAAGCTCCCAATTATAGCTAATGAAAATTCTACCCACAGGACCAGGCCTTTAAGAGATACTGCGTTACAATATCATAATGTATTGCATGAATCAGCACTTTCTACATTGATGCTGGTTCACAGTTGTGATGAGATCAAACCAAAACACTGATTCAGTGCCCCATACATTTTTAAGATCTACATTTGACTTGACTTCAGGCTTCTCTATATAATGGACTGAACTAGAATAGTAGGACCAAATGCCCCTTGAAACTGAAGCATCTTAGATCCAGATTAGATTCCACACCTGAACTCAGCATCTCAGAGCTATCCCCAAATGAAGTACAGGTTGAACCTCTTTATTCTGGCACCCATGGGACTTGAACAGTGCCAAACCAGAGAACAGGCCGATCATGGGAGGTCAATATTGTCTAGCAACATTTCCAGCTGCTTACTGGGATGTTGGAAAAAGAATACTGAGAGCCAGGACTGGTGGCTATCAAACTTTATGGGACCATGGGAAAGGAGGCCTTAGCTATGATAAGTGGACATCCAGCTAACTAAAATCGTGCCAGTCCACTGATGTTGACTGACCCAAAAGTACCAGGTTAGAGAGGTTCAACCTATATATTGAGCTGGCTTTTCAATAGCTTGCTTTTGTATGCACTTGAGTTGCACGTGCACTAGGCAAAAGTAGGGTTCTGAAAAATCAAACCCATTATTGTAAAGAGATAGTCCTGCCACTATTTAAAGTTTCACACAAAGAAAGAACTCACTATCAATATCTTGTCAGCATCCCAACAAACTGAATGCAGCATGTGTTGACCCACTTATCTACAAATTGGTGGGGGAGGGGGAATTAGAGAATAGTTAACGGAGATGCTATTGATTTATAATCAACAGTACAAATAAGTAGCTATTAAAAATCTGTGTGTGATTTTTCCTTAACTGCTTTTACTGGATGCAAAAATAACAGGAAGCCTGTTTGTTCTCCAGTTAATATTACAGAGGTGGTATCTTGCTGAATAGACAAGTTTTATTCTTCCTGCTTAAGATCCTTCCTCTTTTTTTAAGAAAAAGAAAAGAAAAAACAAAGGTCTATATTAAGGGACTAAATTTTGTCCTAGAATTATGAGAATATTCAGTGAGAATATTCATGTACATATGAGGGCAAAATTTGGCCTCACTTTGATCTCTTTTGGTGTCTTAATTCAAAGCAATAGGAAGAACACAGTGAGCCCAATCCTGATCCCAAAAATATTAATGTCAAAATTCCTGAACACTCCAATGGGAGCAGGATTGGATACAAGGGTTAAATTCTATCCCAATTTATGTCTTGTACAATTCTCATTGACTCAACTGGATGCACAGGATGTTAATCGGGGCAGAATTTGGCATACAGCTTACTAAGGCATTTAGACACAACTCCTGATCAAAATAAGGAAAGCTGTGTAGCTAAACAAAGTTAGCTTTGAAAATTTCCATCTGCAAGTACAACATATTTCAGGCACAGAACCATTACATTTCCTACATGGTCACCTATGTTACCAAAGGCAAAAAGTATCTGTTATCTGCACACAAACCAATCATGCTAAAGCCATAAAACAAAAATTGCAATCATGAATTGGCTTTCAGGCAGAGAAACACACTATAATGCTCTGATCATTCTCTGAATTAGCCTAAAATATGTAACAGAAGGCCTAAATAATTACTTTTAAAAAGTTTGTACAGTAAAACTCCATTAGTCCGGCATCCAATGCTCCGGGACTCCTGATGGTCCGGCACCATCAGGAACCCGGAAGTGCTGGGGCAGCCGGACAGGCTTCCCCCATTCAGCTGCTGCTGAAACTGACCAGCAGCTGAATCGGGGAAGCCGGGAGCAGAGCAGCTGGGGGGCTGCCAGGTTGGTCCCGTAGCGCCGCCCCTCGGGGCTGCGGGACCAACCCGGCAGCACCCCAGCTGCTCTGCCCCAGGGGTCCCCGATTCAGCCGCTGCTGAAACAGATCAGCGGCTGATTCCAGGAAGCCCGATGTAGGAATAAGAGATCCTCCGGAATAGGGCTTTATTCCGGAGGATCGGGCCAGTCTAGATGCTTTTTTCCGGCTTTTCCCCAAGCCGGAAAAAAGCGGCAGACATCTTTATTTAAATCCCGCGGGGGATATTTAAATCCCCCGCGGATTTCCCTATTCTGAAGTTGAAAATTAGCATGCCCCTTTCGAAAAAGGGGCCAGTGTAGACGTAGCCTATGTGGTTTTTTTTAAATACAGATACAGGTATGTTAAGACAACATTTTGACAGACAGCTTATGTAGAACACAATGCTATTTTTGTTCCAATATATATATGCTTTCCTCTATAGGGAGAGATTTTGTGGGAATACTTTAAATATATGACAATACTAGTAATCATCTATATTTCAGTGGAAGTAAAAAGTGATGTCTATATGTTATTTAACAAAGATATCACTCCACCATTCTTTTGCATTATTTAAAAATATAAATCAAGCCATGAAAAAAACCCCTATGTTGTACACACACAGAGATTACAGCAAATAAGATACATAATAGTTGGGCTCTAATTATTAATGCCACATCACTAACAGTAATGTTATTATGGTTCATTTGTTGTGTCATCCCCAATTAAGTTTTGCTCTCAATTACGCTAGCAAGAATAAACCTATACTTTATCCACTCACATATAAAATTGTCTTAGATAAGAAAATAATTTTATTTCAGTAACTGCAGAATGCTAATTCCTATAATAAAAAGAACACAGAAATACTGCACATTGTGAGGTAAATCTTAGCTATTTATCTAAAGAATAATGACAAGTCTTAAGGATGATGATTGTGTTTGTGCCTGTATATAAAATATATATTATGTATACACGCAGCTCATATTATGTATGCATAGACACGCAGAGTACTGCATATCATAATACTCAAAGAATTCTTCATTATTAAAATTATACATTAGACTTATGGAAACTCAAGTTGACAAACAGCTTAGAAAATATTTTTTCATAGGAAATATTTTCAAATTTGGCTGCAATAACAATGTACTGATGTTCACAGAGAACCTTAAAATAGAGTTAAATCCATTTAATTGGATTGGTTGAAATGCTGCAGAAAACAATAAGAACAACCTCCTACATTTCCTTATTTCTATAACTAAACTTAATATTTTGGAACAGTCTGAAACATTTACTTAACCTTTCCTCTATTATTTCTTATACTTGAGTGACTTTGTCTCTTTTTTTCCTTCTAAGACCAGAACCAGCAGGGATGGCAAAGAGAGGCTGTTTTCACAGCATTAAAGATTAATTGTAAGCCCATGGTACTGACAATCTCATGGGTGGAGGGGAGAGGGATATTTCTTTCAGTTTCCAACTAAAATTGCATGAACTTGAATGATTCAGGCAAACAAAATGCACACTCAGATATATCAGGTTTGGCCATCTCAATAGCTGGTATGTAATATAAAATATTCTTATAGATATGAAAATCAGCAGCATCTTTGTGGTTTTCTACACAGCAAATGCTATATCTGCATTATTGAGAAATTTTATGAGCCCCTCTCTCATTTAATCTTCTCATCATGGCTACACATGGCAATTGTGCTTCCTTAATTCTAGAGTTTTGGGGACTGTCTTGTCCAGACGATTTCTCGGGTTCATGCCCAGTGGCTCATTAAAAATAATTTATTAGGCATTTCCTAGTAAAAAAAGAAAAACAATAAATTGAAAGAATGAATTCCTCCATATCTGCTGCAAACCCACTGTCTCTTAATGCTTGTTTTATCTTGTTTAATAATTTTAAGTTCCTGCAGTATGCTCACTTGCTTTTTCTTTCAGTCTTCCTTTACTTTTTGTTTTAAGATTTCATCTAGATATAAACTATTTCTATCAGAGTAAGTGCTAATAATATTTTTTTTTAAATAAAAGCATTCTAGTTTCCTAAGTTAACTTATAAAAACCATCTTCAATTACAAGCAAGTCTTCAAAGTGGTCACGGTCATTGCTTAGTGCTACTAGTCTAACAAATCAGAGACTCACTAACAACCACCAGAAATATACCCTTTTCCAGATCATATTCTTGACTCAGCCAGTTTTTTCATCACATGCTTCCACTATCACATTCTCCTGAGCCTTGCTTCTCTTGTGTCAGTCAGTTGGTTATAACAACAATCAGTTCATTTGCAGTATGACGATATTATCAGCAGCTCAATAATGATCCTGGTTAGCTCATTTTACTTCTCTTTACATCCATTCTGTTTCTTCCATCTCTGCATCTGTCAAGTTCTTCCAGACACCCTGCTAGTCTCATTGAAATCTGGGAGAGCCTCATTTATATGGGAATGCAGGATTGGGTCCCAGTTGACAAAATACAGGGACTTGTGAGATATAAAAGCAAAAGACATTGGTACAGTATAAGAGTTTCTCAACAAAATGGTCATACCTTTTTGAGAAGTATTTAAAAAATACTGTGAATTACTAGACAATCAGGGACCTTAAGTGAGCCCCGATGGCGAAAATGGCGACCATTACACAGAGATGGTGAAAGCTGCTCAATGAGATGGTAAGATACCACAACTCACAGGCTGCGTCTAGACTGGCATGATTTTCCACAAATGCTTTTAACGGAAAAACTTTTCCGTTAAAAGCATTTGTGGAAAATCATGCCAGTCTAGACGCAGCCTGTGAGTTGTGGTATCTTACCATCTCATTGAGCAGCTTTCACCATCTCTGTGTAATTTCTTGACACTTCCACTGAAAATCTCACTTAAGGTCCCTGATTGTCTAGTAATTCACAGTATTTTTTAAATACTTCTCAAAAAGGTATGACCATTTTGTTGAGAAACTCTTATACTGTACCAATGTCTTTTGCTTTTATATCTCACAAGTCCCTGTATTTTGTCAACTGGGACCCAATCCTGCATTCCCATATAAATGAGGCTCTCCCAGATTTCAATGAGAGTTTTTTCTTCACAACAATTGTTGATTAGGCTTTTAGAGTGAATTTTAACCCCCAAGCTCCTTTTTGCCTTCAGACTTCTTGCAAAAGAATAAACAACATTGCTTATTACTTACAGTTACATAACAAAAAATAACAGACAAAGTGCCATATATGGTAATCTTTAAGGTACTGGCCACTCATCAAATACTAAACAACTATGTACACCTGTAAAGTAAAATGCTTTCAAAGACAGTCTGGTAACTGTATTCGTACCTCTGTGTAGAACTGATCAGAGAAAACTCTGCAATTCTAATTTTCTACTTCACCTAAATGAAATATAAGAAGTATACATTCATTATACATCAATCAAATAAAAATGGTCATGCTATGCGCCGGGAAAATACATATATGTTTTTAAATACAATAGTGGCAAATAATACTCTAAATCCCTACAGTGTATAGCAAAATGTAGTATCCTCACATTACTGTATCTTCCGTGTAAACTCAAAATTATATTTGCTAAATCAGAATCTCAGTTCCGCTTGGGCTGATTGCTTTCTCCATTAATCAGATTCTTCTCCTGTTGTTCAGCTAAGGACTGCCATTTTTGCCTATTCTTTCTACAGCCATCCAGAAGAGGGTAGCAGGCTTCAGATACATGTGTCAGGGCCTGGAAGAAATAAAACAAAGCAGACTAGTAATGCATAATAAAAGACACAGTTTTCCTGTGCTCCTTAAGATGTGCCTGTTGGAGGCACTAGAATATGTTTGAAACACAGAACTTGGTTATACTAATAGATAGTGGAATTGTGTTGGAAAAACTGATTTTAAGCAAAGCTCCCTCTCACTCCAAATCCAAAATGAACTCAATTATTTGACACATACGAATGTCCATTTTTATTACTGAAGCAATTACTGATTTAACAGAATTACACAAGGGTCATTTGGCCCCTAAGTATTCTGCAGCTGATTAAGAAAGGTCTAGCGAATAGCTGTGTTTAATAACCATTCTCAATTACTTTTCATCTTCTAGTATAGACCAGGCAATAGTGAGTTACTGGACTAATGAAAGTGAAGCAGAGAACAAGTTTGGAAACAGAATTGAATTCCACTGTTTGGATTAGGATAGAATGGATAAATACAAGAAAAGGTCAAGTAATTTCCACTGAAACTACATTTTAATGAAAAATGTAAAATCCATGAGCATTTTTGTGATTTTTTTTTTGCTTCATCTGCAGTCACATACAATGAACACACAGCCCTTTACTTCTATTATCCTCTGGAATTCAGTGGAACTACTCACATGAGTAACCACAAAACCCACTGTCTGTCAGACTTATTAATGACTGACCACACAAAGAACAAGGGCTGAAGTTAATGAAGAAGAAATCAGTTAGGATTTCACTCATGAAACTTAATTCTCATTCAAATAGTAAAAGATCGTGATGCCAAATTCTCCTTTTTCTTCTGATAGTTTTACAACAATATAACACTACTGGGCCATATCCTGGTGTAAATCAGTATAGTTCCATTGACACCAGTAAAACTGAGGAACTGGCCTACTGTCTTCGTTGGAATTATTCTGGATTTATATCACTGAGAGGAAAATCAGGCCCATTAAGTACAATTCACTGGAATTATACCATTTAATTTTCTGTATATGTTTAAATGGTTTAAAATGCTAGAACAGTTTAATTAAATGTCAGCATTGAAATCAGTGAGATGAATGAAACAGTTGTGCTGTTATTTATAGATTCATAGATTTTTTTTAAGGTCTGAAAAGACCATTATGACCAGCTAGTCTGACATTCTGCATAACACAGGCCACAGAATTTCACCCAGTGATTTCTGCCTCAAGCCCATTCACTTGGACTTGATAGATTTTTGGTAAAATGGAAAGCCAAACTTTCAATCCTGCCTGCAGCATGTGTGAGATACTCTTAGGGACAGGAAGAAAGGTTATGAAAAAGCCAATGAATGGGCAGGCCAAACTAACAGTTGTGCTTATTGATTATTTTTAAAGGGCTAGGACACTGGAGAATGAACAGGTCGTTTGTTCCTTTTCCAAGTGACTTAATCTGAAATGATTCATTGTTTCATTACGTGTTACTCATTAAAGAAAGCAGGCAGAGTTCCCACCCTGCTCCAAACAGAATATATCTAACATGGATCTGCTCCAAAGTTAGCTTTTTCATGGGGCTTGTATCTATTGTTAACCTGAATGACAACACCAAAGCAAATGTCCCAGCTTAAGCTTTCTCCCAAACTGGGCTGTTTTAGCGATGTGAATGACTAGTTGACTATCTGATAAGCAAATGCTTATTGGATCGTTGACAGGCTAGTCGACTGGTCACTCCCTCCCTCCCCCTACTTGCTGCCTCTATCAGAAAGAGGCAGTGAGGAGGGGGTGCTTCAAAGGAGCAGCGCTACATGGAGCCTGGGGATAGACCCCAGGCTCCATGCAGCGCTGCTGCTTTCAAATACTGCATGCAGCCTGGGGACACTCAAGCTTGCCCTGGGCTCCATGTGGCATTTCAAAGCAGCAGTGCCACATGGCGCCTGGAATCAGCTGGGCACTCCCCCGCTGATCCCGGGCTTCGTGTGGCGCTGCCGCTTTGAAACGCTGTGTGGAGCCTGATGCTGGGTTCCCTGTGGTGTTTCAAAATGGCAGTGCTGCAAGGAGCCCGGGGTCAGCCGGGGAGTCCCCAGCTGACCCCGGGCTCCATGCAACACTGCCGCTTTGAAACACTGTGGTGAGTATGTGGCCAGCGGGGCACTGCCTTGCTAGCCCCATGCTCCCTGCAGCGCTTTCACCTTTGAAGTGTAGCAACTGCGCTAGGGTGGTTGCTGCACTTCAAAGGCAGAGGTGCCCTATTGACTAATAAAATAGTCAATGCACATTCCATCAACTATTCGATTAGTCAATTAATCAAAATTTAACATCCCTAGGCTGTTTTATGCATATTTACCTCTAGGATCTTAGTGCTCTCGTTTTCTCTGCTCCATAGAGATAGGCCAAACCCTCTTTTAACCTGGGGGACAGTTAATAGGACCCACCTGCCAGCATGAATCAGCAGAAATAACTCTTCTCTTGTGTGGTCCTGCATTCCTAAATAGGATCCTAGAAGCTGCCAGTCTGTTAGTTTCAGTTCCTATTATATGAAGTTCAGTGGTTTAGTTGAGTATTTCTCTCACAGCACAGAGCAACACTGCTCCAAGGGACGCACAAGGTGGCACTGTATCTCAAGTAACATCTCCCAGAGCTCTTGCGAAATGCAGCATGCTCATAAAGAATGGAGTGTGAACTCCCCTTGGATCTTGATCAGTGCAGGGGAGGTTGTTGTGCACATCATCCTGGTGGCTACTGCCACTAGCTAGCAGCAGACCTTGTTCTCAGGAATACTCAACAATGCAATTTTGTTATGAAGTGTGGGTACAAGAAGGACATACCTTATACTCCCCATACACTTGCATACCCACACAAGGATTGGGCACAGTCTGGCCCAATACCCTTTGATAAGTAGTTGACATGAGACCCAGTGACCCTTTGGTAGTTTCTCTCTAGATTTCCCTAAAATTCTTGTGTTGGAGGTTGGGTTGTCTCCCCCCTTTGGGAAAATGCCAGCTATTCAGTCCCATAAACCTGTGGACTCCAAGTTCTGTATGGATCATAATGCATCTGCAGAAATAACAGGTCTTCTGGAGAGAGGGTCTATAGGACACAGCCACTCTGTCCACTACAGCCGCCTGCCTTCCACTGGAAGTAGTTGTCTGGGGTTCTCCAAGAACAACTGCCACTATATTTCACTGCTGTTGATTTCCGAAGCACAGAATGGGAAGATTCACATGACTGCTGACTCTGTGCTCAGTCACTTGATCATTTGTGCTGTGGTATTTCAGTGGTGAAAGAGAACAGCCATCCCTGCCTCCTCTCAACCTGCAGATGGGCATTCACGCAGAGTGCCTTTGAAGCGGAATACAAGTTGAGGAATGAATGTGTGAAATCATCTTGCTCACATTTCCCATGGATAGATTTTGGGGGCTACGTTCCTATTTGCTCCCCAAGTTTCAGTTCTTAATAACTGCCTCCAGAATACATGACACACTCTGTGGAGACACTCAACTAGTCTCAAAGACAGGAAATTAGCTATGTTTTCATACACAACATAAACTGATTAAGCACCTAGTTAAGCAGTGCACAGTTTGTGGCTAAGATGCAAAAAACATCAGTAGGTTCTGTTGTGTTTTGTAGTTATAATTTGAAACTTGGTGCATATATACGTTAACATAATAATGGTTTGCACTTGTGCAGCATCTCTCACCCAAAGATTTCAAAGTACTTTACAACCCTTAATTAAGCCACAAAAACTTCTACTGTGAGACAGATGGGTACTATGAATTTTATCAATGGGTATAGCGAGGCACAGAGAGGTTGTCTCAAAAGTACATAGCAACTCGGTGGCAGAGCCAGGAATAGAATTTAGGGATCCAACACCTATTCTCCAGGTGCAATCATGAGACCACACTGCCTCTTGCCCCGCTTTTGCAATGATTATAAGAAACCCCTTCAATCATCTAAGTAAGCAGTTAATGATAAACACTGAAATAGTCTTTTGCCCAGATGGACTATTGAATAACAAACAACAAAGGATTTCTCATCTATTATTCAACAACTGAACAATAGCAAACTTGGTTCTAATGACAGCCTCTGCACTTGTTGCAGGCTACAATGCTCTTCTCTGGTTTTGTTAGTTGTACAATCTATGAAAAGAGTTCCCTCTCAAATAGAGTACCTCATAGAGTTGTAAACAAATGGCATCTATGAATCCAACCTGCATGCTGGGAATTTTATTTTTCTTTTCTCTGTTCATTAAATCCTGAAAATACAAAAAGAAGTACTCAGTTTTCACAGCAAACATGCACAGTGGATCAGTTACATATTAAAATAAGTTTAAAAAAAAGCCAAGTGTTAATCTAGACTGCTGTGTCTAGACTGGCAAGTTTTTCTGCAAAATCATCTGCTTTTGCGGAAAAACTTGCCAGCTGTCTACACTGGCTGCTTGAATTTCCGGAAAAGCACTGACGATCTCATGTAAGATCGTCAGTGCTTTTCCGGAAATACTATGCTGCTCCCGTTTAGGCAAAAGTCTTTTTCCGAAAGACTTTTGCGCAAAAGGGCCAGTGTAGACAGCACAGTACTGTTTTCCGCAAAAAAGCCCCGATCGCGAAAATGGCTACGTCTACACAGGCATGATTTTCCGAAAATCACAGGCATGATTTTCCGAAAAAACTTTTAACGGAAAACTTTTCCGTTAAAACCATTTTGTGGAAAATCGCGTTTAGATTGGCCACGGACACTTTTCCGCAAAAAGTGCTTTTGCGGAAAAGCATCCTGCCAATCTAGACGTGCTTTTCCGAAAATGCTTTAAACGGAAAAGTTTTCCGTTAAAAGCATTTTCGGAAAATCATGCCAGTGTAGACGTAGCCGAACTGTGTAGCAACGCCTTAGAAAGCATAGAAGAGTAGCAGCACAATGTGTTGTCAAGTAGGTAACTTGGCTGCCTGAACAATTTCTGGGGTCTTTTACCTGGACTGGCAGGGTACAGATCATCAGTGGAAGCTGAAGCCCACATTAGGAGGGTGAAATTATGTTTGCACTACTTTTTAAGAACTCTCTTCCTTTATCATTTAGAAGCACTACCAGCTACCTTGGAGAAATTCACGCTCTTTGCTCTATTGCAATGGTCAGCTTCAGATGTTTGGGAACAATAAAATGAAACTAGGTATCAGGTGTCAGATTGGGAAGAAGCTCGTTCCATACTCTGGTACCCAAAACCAACATCATTTTAAAAAAAGAAAGTCTTGCTGGCAGTAATTATTTGGAAAGAGGTGCTCCCACACATGGCTTTCTTACTTACTATTGGTTCTATGTTGAGTTCCTTTCTTTCTTTATCTCCTTGGTCAAAAAATTCTGTAGCAACAAGTTCAGCTATCTGTAAGAAATGTCACATGCTGTTCATTAATTTTAAAGGCCTATAGTCAATACAGAAAGTGTTATTGCTGGGTGTCTGCCCTGAGTGAATAAGGAAGAAGGCCCTGATCCTGAAAAGAGTTCTGTACACCAATATGAAGTCCCAGGTGGTTTAAATGAGCCTACATGCAAAATCTCGAATAGTGAGGTAGGCCCACTAAGCTGTCTCAGTCAAACAACACAATGTCAAATTAAACATTTTTAGCAGTAAACAAACTCAAACTAGATATGTTTGAATTCTTGAGTACCAAGATTCATTACATAAAAGAACACAACAAACAACTAGCATTTCATGGGCTGCAGCTCACTTCGTCAGATGCATGATGTTTTTGCTGAAACAGACTAACACAGCTACTTCTCTGAAACTAGCATTTGTTGAACATTAGTTCTGAAAAAACCCAAGAGTATTAATACATGCATTTCAGCTGTCTAACTGCACTGACTAGAGTGGAGTTGCCTGGGTTAGCAATTAAGGCCAAATCAGACCCAGTACATGTTTTAGAGACTCTTACCATATAAATACATTGCACTTGTACAGACCCTATTCCAAAACGTGTTCTCTGTATGTTGATAAATTCAACTCACAACAATTCAGTGACGTAAAAATTAATTTGCTGATGGGTACAGTGAAGCACAAAAATGATCAGAAGTAATAGAAGTTAAACCTACAATTTTCAAAAATATCTAGTGATTTTGGGCACTTCAGGTGGTGGGTGTCCATCTTGAGATAGCTGATCTTTGGGCACAAAAGTGCACTTGCCAGCTATTCATAATCAAAATTATGATAAATACACTTATAAACAAAGGTGATCTATCTTCTGAGGACTGCTTCCAAAGGTTGTGCCTTCCAACAATATCTTTGCAAAGTGGAAGGTGAGGTTTAGGAAGCAGAAGTTATAAAGGACAGAAACCCTTAGAAAGTCTTAAATTAAAAATTTAATGTATACCCGTTGTTGAATTGGCCATGGCTTTGTTATTGCTGACAAATCACAAGCAGTCATCAGCATTGCTCTGTAAAAACAAGGAAAATTCATGGTTTGTTGAAATATGAAATTCATGTAGCTGTTCAGTCTAGAAGCTAATAAATATGGGTATGTCTACACTACCCCCCTAGTTCGAACTGGGGGGGTAATGTAGTCATACGGAGTTGCAAATGAAGCCCGGGATTTGAATTTCCCGGGCTTTATTTGCATAAAGCTGGCCGGCGCCATTTTTAAATGCCGGCTAGTTCGGACCCCGTGCCGCGCAGCTACACGCGGCACGGACTAGCTAGTTCGGATTAGGCTTCCTAATCCAAACTAGCTGTACGCCTAATCCAAACTAGCTACACGCGGCACGGGGTTCGAACTAGCTGGCATTTAAAAATGGCGCCGGCCGGCTTTATGCAAATGAAGCCCGGGAAATTCAAATCCCGGGCTTCATTTGCAACTTCGTATGACTACATTACCCCCCCTAGTTCGAACTAGGGGGGTAGTGTAGACATACCCTATGATACCCAAATAAAAAGAAAGCCAAGCTAACTGATGAAATCACAGTAAGATGATACAAATATCCTTTAACAGGGGACTAGATGACTGAAGAATGGTAGTGTGGTATTGTGACAGGTATTGTGCCTGTCTGTTGTGTCATGTGGCCTGAGCAAATCCGGATCAGATCAGTTGAGATCAAATCCATTTCCACAGGAAAGGCCCATGTGCAAAGAGTTGGCTTCAGTCTGTTTGCTAATGGACAAGCCATATTACAAAATTACGTAAAATAATTACAAAAACAACCTTTGCTGGCTGTTTCGGGAGAAAGAGCAAGGTCTGAATGAGCCACTGGGTATGAATCTTAACTGAAGTAGTCTGCCCCAAGAGGCAGTGCCTCCAAAATGGGCTGGTAGCACACTGATAAGTCATCCTGGGGAATCTTGCAGTGCTGCTGGTGTGTCTGTTTTCTGTCCCTCATGTCTCTATCCTTAAGTCTCTTTCCTTATGAAGCAAATTCATTTCTCATGAAACAAGCAGCCTTCCCTGCATCTTTCAGCTACAACAGTTCAGTGCTTTAAGACAATGTACCTACAAGCAAAAGAACAACATAGCATTCTGTCAGGAGTCCTACACACTTTAGGAATAATAGAAATGCTAGTGGGCAGGTGCCACATTATAAAAATCACTGTCACCACTAACAATCACTGGCAATTTTGTTGACTGTTTCAGGAGGAAGGCCACAAGAAGTCATTCATCATACAACCCCTGCAGCTTTCTGAACAATATTCAGATCCAGGTGTCTATTAACTGACCCATTTGACTTGAGACAGCTTGAACAGGCCCAGATTAAACAGATTTATATTGGCTTTACTGAAAGTAACAGCAGTGTGAATTAGAAAACCTGATAATCGGTAATACAGTTTGGTGGTTAACATCTGCCATATACTTACAAAAATAGCTCCTTCTGCAGAGGATCTTCCCAGTTAAATTGCTGCTTTCGTAGAAGTTCAAAAAACTCTCCCCTTCTCCTTAAATGAGTAAACACAAGATTCATAATCAGTCTGACACAATCCAAACACCTGTCAGCAGCTGTTCAGCCAGATGTACCGCCAACTTACTTAATGTACAGTGCTAAGTCTGTGGCAAGAATGGCTTGCTTTATCATTTTCAGCGTGACCTTATATTCATCTATGGAAAGGTTGCTGAGAATCTGGTTTCCCTTTCCAAAACAAAACAAAAAAACGAAAAAGCAGTGTTAGCAATAAAGCTTGGAATGTGTCACCGAATTATTCCATCCCATCCAAAATCACTGAGCATTGTCTTGTAACTGATGGTTTCTTCCTACGCTGCTTTTGTTTGCATTCTCCTGCCTATGTACCCAATAAAAACATACTGCAGTATTCCTGAATAAAGGCCCAATGCGCTGTAGAAGCTCTGTAGTAAATGGCTGCTCATTAGAATGCTATAGTATTTTTATAAGGGTATACACAAGAGACAGAGCAATCAGGAAGCAAAGACCCTTCCAAGTCTTTAGTTCATCCCAAAGAGTTCATTTTCCACAAGCCATATTCTGGAGGTGCTTCTTTTTCTCTCCAGTAAAAAGACTGTAACAGACAAATATATTGCTTAGGAACTTGCCAAGTTACCTAACACAATGTAAAAATCTTATGAGAGTCACTCACTTACAAACAGCATCAAAAATGTCATTCCAGTGACCACTCCTAAATAAACCAAAGCATATTAGGCATGACATGAGGAGATCACAGCTATAGTGTTTCCAAGATTTTGTCAAGTGAATCAAGGTGAATCACTTGTACTGTAAGGTAGACCAACATTACCATGTCTTGATATTAAATGAATAGTGTAAACATGCTATTTCAAAATTATTGTGTATGCTGAATAACTGGTCTTCACGTTAGTTAATAATGGAGCAGTAGATAAAGAATGTGATCATTTTATTTACATATTTATTCCAGTTAGATTTGCACTCACTTGTGAATGTCAATATTTGGCTTCTGGAGTTTGGTTCATGCCCATCAGTAGCCAAAGGGTACTTAATTTATTTTTCAGAACTGTTGTGCGTATGCAGGGATGTACCTTACAAGGCAAGAAACACTGCCAATTCAAACAAGAGTTCACAAGAGGTCACAGGAATGGTAACAAAGCTTTTTGTTTTCTTTGGTCCAAGGAAGCAGGTGATCAAAATGAGAGTAGCAAGGATTCCCTTATCAGGAAACATTTGGAAAGGTTTGGTGACTCAGAAGTGGGGCTATGTATTTGCCTTCTTTACCGAAAAAGGAATAAAGATCATTTAAGAATGTATAATACTGGGAATTGATCCAGAAACTAAAAATATAAGTGAAATAGGCTAGGGCTTCTTTCAGTGCACACGCAGAAATGAGGCATTTACCGGAGTATTCAGGATCATCAGGCACTGATCAAAATGGTGATGCTCCATGATTGAGTGGCAATAGAGCTGAGCCAATGGATGTTCACTTCTGAGGAGTTAAAACATATGGAAAAAATGAGAAAGCAACGTAAAGGCACCAATTGCCCAGCAGCAGCAACAGCATCCAATACAATTTATTCTCCTGCCCCACCACTTCCTTGCCTGTTGGTTCTCTTTTCCCCCTCTTCCACGTGACTGGTCAAACAAAATGCATTTAGGGAGAGATCAACAGGGGAGCACAAATGTAGAAACAATGTAACTACTTTTTCAAAACACTGATTGCTCCAAAGTTCAGGTTTTGATTTAAACTGTAGAGGCCACTAACACACAAGCAATGAGAAAATAATACAAGATTCTAAAAGCAACCAGAGTCTAAAAGTGAAAAAGGAATGGCAATGAGAAAGGGCACTGAGACTGAAAACTTCGAAAGAGGAGAATAACTATCCAGAGAGGATGCTCTTCTGCAACTACTGAGCTTGCAAGCAGCAAATGGCATTAAGGCACAATCAATCCAAAGCCCACTAAAGTCAATGAAAAAGCTCATAGTGAATTCAGGAGGCTTTGGATCAGATCTTAGAGGAATTAATGCCAGCCATACCCTACTTTGCTTGTGACCCTACTGACTGCACTAATCTTGTTCATTCTGTTCCAAAATAAATACTTTGATTTACAAGGAACAAGTTACTGAGCTACCATCACTTCTCCTGAACTAACAAAATAGCCAAAGAAAAATTATGTGTGACTTGTGCTTCATTATTGTGCCATTGATAGAAAAAACAGCATGAAACTAACTGCATGGATGTGAAGTTTTAATCCTATAACGTAATATAGGATGTTGAACTTATTGTGCTTACTTAATTTTGGATGAAAAAGGGAAACTTATCTGAAGATTTCTATGTTTTGTCCTTCTTTCTCATTGCATAATGGAGTTCTTTCCTTTTATTAGATAGCCTTGCAAATCTCCTGTTTTTAACCATTTAAACCTTGGCCTCTACATCACTGCCCTGATTCCTTCAATTCAGAACTAGTCGGGAATTGCTCAGAAGCTTGTTTCATTTTTGACTCTGTAGCAGGAACTGTAGTCACCTGTAACCCGATCCTCCAAATCCTTACCCATGTGAGTAATCCTTATTTAAACATACAGCACTAGTGGGCTACTTCATAAGGAAGATTTACTCATAGGAGGAACTGGAATTGCAAAATTGTGCCCTTCCTAGGAGACTAGTGCAATGATTATTGGGCAGAATGAGACAGAGAGAGAGAG